GTAACTTAGACTATTTTCACTCATCCAAGCCATATATATAACTTAGACTATTTTCACTCATCCAAGCCATATATATACTTATTATAAGTTACTAAGGGTTCCCATAAGCCCACTTAGCTTAAATATCACTTTTAGGGTTTTTCCATAACTGTACATGCTTCTGTTTTCTAGTCACTGTGCACAAACCACTTATTATAAAATTATCGTCTTTTAGTATGTTAATCTGGACTCAATTATCTTTCCAACAAGGTATCACATGCCTCATTTGAAGTTTTCTAGCTCCGGTTACAATCATTTGAAGTTGAACAAGCAAAGTTGCCTGCCAACTCCGAACAGAGCCCTAAACATCCTTTATAATTTCTGCGATTCTGGAAAATATACTAAACCAATTGCTCTCAAATTTTTATGCAGACAACTAGACACCTTCAGCTTTAATTAGACATATTATGAGCCTAATTTGAGTAATTACTGAGGGAGAAAAAATTCGTGGAATTTGCAGCCATGTACAGCCCCTGCACATGGCCTCCCATGGTAGTCTTCACTCAATCGAACCTACAGAATGCTATACATCTTCAAATGATACCAAATTTTGACACCACATAGCTAACATCTCAATCTTAAAAATTTTATAAGGAACATCCCTATAGGACCTCTATGGAGGGAGATATGCCATCCCCAAGTTAGTCTAAAAACTGGTCATTTAGCCCTAAGTGGGTTTAATTATCAAATCTTAATTACCTATGGTTAGCAACTCTAAGTCACTTTAATTCTTGGATTTTTTTCTATTATTAGGTCACATTATGAAATTCCACTTAGTCACATTATGCCATGATACCTCAAGTTCATTAATTGCATGATTAGTGCTCCTAAACCCTAATTAGTTTCATTTTTAGGGTTTAATCTTTAATTAGTGTATTATGCATAGTTCACCACACTTAACCACTAGATTAATTTCCTAATTAGGTCTTAATATTAATTTTAACATAGTGACCCTAAATTAATCACATATGGTCGAATGCTTAGGTGTTTAAATTAGTATTTTTAAGCTTATTTCTTAGTCATTTCATTAGTTAATTAGTACCTACACTTAATTAATCCACTAATCCATGATTTTCTTATTTTTAACACAAATAATTCATATTATATCAAAGGGGGCAGATTTGATTAATTATATTTATTAGGATTTTTAGCCATCCTTAATCAAGATTTGTAGGTTTCACTTAAAGATCGCCCATTTAATTAATCTTTCTTAGTTCCTCTTAGGATTTTTCCACACTTAATCACTTCATAAAAATTTTTAGTCATCAAACCCTAGATCCCATGACATGGCTGAATCATAGGTGTCTCCTTTAGGGTTCAAGTTCATCCTTTTTCATACTACTAACCCTTACTTGTCTCAAGTTGAGTTTAAATTGCCATCATCAAAAAGGGAGAGATTGAAGACCTCTTATGCATTATGGAATAAATATTTTGATGATGACAAAAGGTTTACAAGAAGTCTCAATTGAAGATGGAGTTTGATGATACAAGTGGTTAGGTATATTTAAAATTTTGTTACACATTATATTATATCATATAGTATACACCTAAGCTCCATTGCATTATATACATTTCATTTTAGAAATAGAAATTAAATTGATTTTAGAAATAAAATAGTTTTTAAAATAAAATGAAAAGTAGCTTTTACAATTTGATAAAGCAATCAGGTTCAGTACTTTAAAACAAAATATATGGTCACGTGGGTTTGTTCTCTTAAATAGAATATAAAATTAATTTTAGTCTTAAGTTTTGTTTCTATTAGAAAAAGTGTAAAAGAAACTGCTTGCACCTTTCCCATAAAACAAAAGTGATCAGAATTTTGCTTTATATAATAATAAAAAAAGAGAAACTTTCCCAATCATATACATATTTCACAGTACCTATACTTTTATGCTCTGTAACAATAGTTCAAGAAGAAAACCCTATTCTCATTTCTCTCTCTTCGATCTTCGTGATTCCCTCAATAAAGCTCAAGCAGAAATTTGTGAAATATCTTCTTAGTGAGTTGCAAGTGTTTCATGATTCTATCTCACACAATCTCACACACAAGATGTTAAACAAAATCATTTTGGGTAGATTGGGTTCTTTGGATGCGCTTACTGCTGGATTTTTTGGATGCGCTCTGTTCTGATTTAGTTCTTTGGATGTGCATTACACTGGTATTTCTTGGACGCGTACACTAAATACTTGGGGTTCTTGTGAGAACAACTCATATATTCTTTTGGGGCTTCATTGTGGTAAACTCTAATCAACTCATATTCTTGGTTAATATTTTTATTTGAATCCTATATTCTGAGATCTTGAAGAATTTTAGTTAAGCATATTAAATCTGAATTTTTGGTTTCATTGAGGCATATTGTGTTTAATTCAGATTTTCTTGTGGTTCTGTGTAAGAAGATTAATTCTGGATTTTATGTGAAATTTTGAGAAAAATTCTGAATCTGATTTTTACATTTACATTGTGATATTTTTTGTTTAAATCAGATTTCTTGGTGTACATTGATTAGAGAATTAATTTTGTAATATCTAATCTCCTTGGTGCATTAATTTTAGAGATTTTGAGACATATGGCATTGGCCTAATTTTCTGCATATGGCATAAATTTTTGGAGCTTAGTTTGATATTTCTGTGATATATTTGGTATGATATGACACTGTATTGTTGGGTTATTTCACTTGTTACAGTTCTGAAAAATTCTGTATTGGTTGTTAAAGTGGAGTAGTTGCGTGCTGTAAATCTGTCATAGGTGTGTGGGTGAAACCGTGTGGGTTGGCAACCTTGTGCTTGGCTTTAGAGTGTGTCTCAAGGCCTGAAGCCTCAAGAATCCACTAGGGAGAGTGGAGGACTTGTATGAGAGGAGTTGGTGACTCCGTAGGTTCAGCTTGAGAGTATTCTCAAAGCTTGGAGGAGTGTAAGCACTAGGAAGGATTTTGATATTTTGTTTGATTGCTTGTGTGACGCGTATTTGTAAAACAGGTACACTTGTGATAAATAAAATATCTGCAGTGACTTCAGTCTGGATGTAGCACCTTACTTAGGCTTAGTGGGCGTGAACCATGATATATCGTGTGTCTCTTGTCTCTCTCATTTAATTTCTGAATATTCTATTCTTGAGACAGAAAATAACATCGCTTCTGGTTTGTTATTGTTTCTGCTTTCTGATATATTTTTGAAAGTGATGTAGCACCTTACTGGATATGATATAACTGCTGTAACACTTAAACTATTTTCTGGTATTTGGAAATTAATCATTTTCTGTTTTAAGTAAGAAAGGTTGTTGCTGCGTTTGCTCTGTAAAATAAAAGGTCAGGTACATTTTTTATTGATATACATCATACAGAAATTATTTTGGGCATATAGGGACCTAAGGTAAAAATAGTAAAATTCTTATAGCTGTGTGACTGTTATCTGAACTGAACTTACAAAATAAATTGATAATTGTCAATCTTGTTGAGTTGGTGTGGTGATTGAGCTTAATAGTTCAACTTTTTCTAGACTCTACAAATTTAAGGATCTACTAAGAAAATGTTTTTGAAAAATTTGAAAACACGTATTCACCCCCTCTAAGTGTTCTCCCGCATCCTCTGTAAAGAAGCCACTTGCCCAACAAGTGGTATCAGAGCTTCGTGCTCTGAGTGATTGACCATTAGCCAAAGAGTTAAAGATCCTATGGCTTCTTTCCATTAGGATATTCCTCTTGAGGATGGTTCCACCTATCGCCCTCCGTTTTTCAATGGGATTGATTATCCCTACTGGAAAACAAGGATGCAGATTTTCCTTGAGTCGGTAGATCTTAAAAATTGATATAGTGTAAAGGAAGGATATCAGCCTCCAACTAGACTAGATGACAATGGTAAAAGTGTGCTTAAAAAATACACCGAGTTCACTAGAAAAGAATTGAAGAGAGCCCAATACAACTCAAAAGCAAAGAACTTAATAGTTAATGCACTTGGTAAGGACGAATACTACCGAGTATCTTCATGTAAGACCTCACGTGAGATGTGGCTTATTTTAGAAAGAACCCATGAAGGTACCAGTGAAGTAAAGCGTTCTAAACAAAATGCATTATCTAGAGAGTTTAAGCTCTTTGAAATGTATGAGGGTGAGTCTATATTTGACATGCAAAAAAAATTCATGTATATAGTTACATCAATGAATGCTTTAAATATTTTTTAAGATGATGAACTGTTAGTTAACAAAATTCTGAGATGTCTTATTAAGGAATGGGATGAAAAGGCTTCGGCAATCTATGAAGCTAAAGATCTCTCCACAATGTCCATTGCTACCTTATTTGGAAAGTTTCAGGAGTACAAGTTGGAATTAAATAGAAGGGCGAATGTGAACTTAGCAAGAAGAATCCAAAGAGTATAGACCTAAAAGTTTCTTCTTCTCAATCTAAGCAAAGTAAAAAAAAATAGTGAAGCTTCATCAAGTGAATCTAGTACTAGTGAGGACGATGAAATGACAATGTTCGTGAAAAAGTTTAACAAGTCATTCACCAAATTCTTCAACAAAAGGAGTTGGTGATTGAGCTTAATAGTTCAACTTTGTATGGACTTTACAGATTTAAGAATTTACTAAAAATTTTTTTTTGAAAAATTTGAAAACACTTATTCACCCCATCCGGGTGTTCTCCCACATCCTCTTGTAAAGAAGCCATTTGCCCAACAAAAAGTGTGCATGTTGCTTGCAAAGATTGAAATAAAAGATTCCGGTGAATAGAATCGAGAGATTCACCTTGCTAAAAGGAAACGGAAGTCATAATAGAGAATATAAGGGCTTTTCTCAAATACTTTTACAATTTTTTTATTTTTTTTTATTTTTTTATGTACCAAAACTGTAAATAATAATATTTATATAATAATCCATTGAACAAGTTGCAGGTTGTCATTTACAACCTTTGGTCAATAAATATTCATAATCAATTGCTCAGATTATATTGAACATGGGCGCACCCAATAATAAAAGTTGATGAATTCAATTAAGAATGTGGATAACAGAACTTCTTCCCACTCTATGATAATGAAGAGGGATCACCAGATATTTTCCCAAATTGCTTGTGATTGAGAATTCAAAACTGGGAATTGGGGATTGATAGGGCTCTCGTCTGTATAAAGCTTCTCAAAGTAAGTAGTGGCCATATTCATCAAAGTCTCTATAGAAAACTTTCTTTCGACTAATCATCTTTTCTTGCACAGAACCTGATGGCTTTTCCGTCTGCTCCGTATTCCCTCAGAGGAGGAAGATTTGCTGAAACGAAGCACTAAACAGGTACAGAGCATTTCATGTATATCAAGTGTAATTACATTTTTAATGGTAATCACACATTTAAAAATGTTTTTTAGCAATACAATTTAAACAAAATAAATTATTGCAAACTTATACCGAAATCATATTTATAAATTGTAATCCAAACATATATTAAGGGATTCATTTTAGCCGTGTAAGTGAAATCAAACATTTGGTAGTATCCAAAAGAGGTTTTTATGATTACATCAAAGCTTTCCAGCAATGCTGTGTAATAAGAATCATACAAAAAGAGCTTATTATTATTATTATTTTATATTTCCACTTTGCGTAGAATGATATGAGCACCATATTGTGGCTGAAGAGTAGTTACTGAAACTGGACCATGGGCATAAGCCGGAGAAAGTTCAAATGAGAAATGTTGTAAAATCAGTGATAAAGCCATCTTTGCTTCTAACATGGAAAAGTTTTGTCCAATGCATATTCTAGGACCCCATCCAAAAGGAAAAAATGAAACTCTGCCATTTGTTGCCTTTAAAACTCCTTCAGAAAATCTCTCAGGATTGAACTCCTTAGCATCATTTCCCCAAAGTTCACAGTCGTGGTGAACCAAAACTGTTGGTAAGTAAACCTGCACTCCAGCCGGTAATGTCAGGTTTCCAAGTTTCATATCTTTGTGAACAGTTCGAGTAAGCCCAAGTATTGGTGGATATAACCTAAGAACCTCATACAAAACCATGGTAACCTGTTACAAAAAGAGTAATGCTAATGGTAAGTATCATGGACATACTATTCAGTCTGAAAATCAAAATAATATAATACTTACAATCTTAAGGTGACTAAGACCATCAAAATCTGGTTTGTTGTTGCCAAAGACTTGTAAGACTTCATCTCTAGCACGTGCTTGCCAATCAGGCTACCTACTCAATAAGACCATTGTCCAAACAAGCAAAACAGAAGTGGTTTCCTGCCCTGCAAAGTAGAATAGCTTGCATTCCTCTATTACATCTTCAAGATTCATTCCAACATTCTTATTGCTTCCTTGTTCTTCAATTTCCTTGTGATTTGACTCCAAAAGTATACCTAATAAGTCATTCTTAGTTGCTTCACCAGCCTTTAGTGCTTTCTCTCTCTTGTTAATCATACCCTTGAGCGAAGCATTTACATCTCTGTGAATTTGCTTCATCCTCCGATGGGTAGTAGTAGGTAGAAACCTACAAATAAACATAATCAGTCCTGTAATTATCATGGTATGAAGGGAATGCTCTTCCAATATCAAATAGCCTTGTAGTGGTTGTTCTGTCAACGGTAAGCAGTTTGGTTTTCCATCTGCTATAGTTTTAGTAAGTGGACATTTTATATAACACCTAGATTCTTATTCATTCTGATAATTGTAACTTACCTGAATGAATTTTTTTCCTATTCATGTTGCAATTGAGATACCACATATTCATGTCACTATTTTGTAAATTTTTCATTGTAAAAAACAAATTTCTTTGATTCTTAATGATTATATATTATTTTTTAAGGATTCGTTTTTTCTGCAGTTAATGCAGATAAGTTATCTGCATTGAGTCTAAAATAACGTCGTTTTGGGGCGGAAATCAAGGTATTTTTGTAATTTTAATTTATTTCAGGGTTATAATAGTCTTTATAATTATAATTTTTTAATATTTCAACACCAAAACGACGTCGTTTTGAGAGTAAATGCAGATAACTTATTTGCAGTAACTGCAGAAACATTTTTCTGATTTTCTAATTGCTGTTTCCTGTATGAAATATGGTAAGGTTAGTTCAGTTAAATAAAACTCGTTTAATAAGCTTGATCTTGCTTTAGTTATTGAGCAGTTAGATACACAGATGAGTCCTACCTCCATCCAGGGATGAAAGCTTTCATTATATCTTTCATTGCAAGTTCAACTTGCTCTTTTTGAAGTTCAAATATTCTTCTTCCTTCTTCATAACTACTTCCAAAGGCTGTTCTAGAAATAACGTCACTAGCCAAATTCTGAAGGAAAGGCCATACATCCATTTCAGACGATCCATCTAGAGATAACATTCCTTCGCATTTGCTAATCAGATTATTGCAACTTTTGAAAAATATTGGTAGCATAATCTGTGGTGTAATAGAGAAAATACAAGGAGTTGATATTCCCAGTGTCAAACTAAGCACAAAAACATGCAGATCGCTTGCAAAAGTATATGTTGCTGGCTAAACTAGCACAAGATATGACATACCAAATATTTTTCCCAAGAGAATGCATTTCTGGGAAGAGTAATTTTTCCGGTGTGTGTTTGACATGTTTTCAAGAGGCACAAAAGTGGATTTCATAATATCTATATTTAGTAAAGGGAAAATAACCTTCAATTTTTCTAAATTGAATGCAGGGTTGATTATCCTTCTGTGCTTGCACCACTTTTCTCCGTCATGATTTGCAAGGCCATTAGCTATTAACTTGATAAGAGGATTGACATTAGGCTTTGGGAAGTCATACATCTTGTTAAGTACATCTTTTATTAGCTCAGGATCTGTGAGGGTCACACTTGGTACTGGTCCAAACCAAAAAAAAGAATTCTTGCCTACATACCATCAGCAACTTTATAAGTAGGTTCAAACTAAAGATAAAAAAAAAAAACACTCCCCGTTAAACCCGACTAACGAGTGTGTGGGGTGGAGGAAATCTTTGTACGCAGCTTTACCCTTGCATAATTGCAAAGAGGCTGTTTCTTGGATTCGAACTCATGACCTTTCAGTCATGAAGAGACAGTTTTACCACTACTCCGATTTGTCCCCTTAAAGATAAACAAAAAAAGAAAAAGAAAAATTCAGGAATTGAAGAGATTGGGAAACTTTGTTGTGTGCTATTTGAAATTGAAATGAATTACAAACCATTGTCCAAAAAGTAACGGCAAGAAAAAATATCATTGTAATTTCCATTGATTACAGTAGGCATAACCTCTCCGTACTTACATTCAGATTGTTAAAGATAATATTATGCTAGGAACATACTCTTCGACACTCTCTATTAGAGAGCACATGAAATTTCTCCCAATAATAGTGTCAAAGAGTGTGTTGCTTGCAATTGTCTAAGGTTCAAATGCTTCACTTCTTTTACAGTTCTGATGAGGTGCTCAAATTGGGCATGTTGTGAGGTTGAGACATGAATTACTTCTTTTATAGAAAAAGGAAATAAAAAATTATTGTCCTCTTCAGTTTATATGATGGGCAGGCAGTTAGAAATCTGTTCTGGTGCTGGATAGTACTGTTCACAAAAATGATTTCATAAAGAAGCACTGTTAGTGGCAAATTGGCCAGAGTAACAAAGTAATTACAGATAAAAGAATGGGTGAGAAAGGGTGCAATGTTTTTAAGTTTCTCACAATGTTGAGAACCAACCGGCAAGCATAATCAACAATCCCGTCATGAAGATTGGGGATTGTCAATGACGAATATCTGTGTTTGATAGACCAACAACAGATGCCATTCTTGCCAAAGTAATTAGTACAGAAAATGCAGATGGTAGGCTATTATAACATACGCTAGATCAGGATCCTATTCTGTCCAAACATGATATCATGCTCGTATTCCTCCACTACTAGTTACTTAATCCTCCATAAAACCTTGATGGGGTTCATAGGAAGAAATCAGGAATGTGAAGGTGGCACCCCAAGTGAAAATCTTCATGTAGAAAGCCTCCTGGAATGGTACAACAGGAACCTGTATCCAAGAGGAAGTTATGCCCTGATGGTGTCTGTCCTATATGTGGTGCCAATACTGTAACAATTGAGCACCTTCTCTTTAATGTATGAATGGACAAACAGAATGGTCTGGTCATTGGCTCATTCTCTAATTTATGATGGGCTACAATTGATTCAAACTAGAAGTCTACTGTCATTTATTCTACTGTCATTCTGATATCTGTCTAAATTTCAATAATTAGCTCTCATAATGATTAAGTGTGACAGGTAAATGGATGTGAGTATAGCTGCACACCATATACAGGACTCCTCAAAAGTCAGTAAGTAAGCAAGTGTAAAGAAAAAGGAAAAAAAGATGAATTTTTCAATAACAAAATGTGTAAAGAAAGAGGCAAATAGATGACAATTGCAAATAAGAAGAGTGGGAAGAGTAGGCATACCATGTTTGTTGACATTTTGTTGGACATAAGAGAACACACGGGGCACTATATCATCGGAGAGATTCATGGGCTTGGACCTTGCTTCCTTTTGCATCTTCCCAATATCCATTAAGTCTCCAACCAAAAGCCTGTATGGATTGCCTTGAAGTCCTTGTTCTCTTAGCAGCCTCTCCATTCTCTTTGGCCTCAGCCACAACCAGTTCACCACCCTCCATCCCCATGTCATAGCAACTATCACTGTCATAATTATGGCTGCACTTGTGGCCCATGCTGCTTCCATTTTTGTGTCGGTGATTGGTAGGGGAAAGAAAACGGAAAAATGATGAAACCAAGGGAAGCAAAGCACTACAATCTTCAGAAATCAGAACTAGTAGTACTATATATTGATTTTCTTATTTAATAGTAAGTAATTAAAAAAACACAGAGAACATGTTGAGAGGTTTTAATAGTATTAAATTTTAAAGAATAAATTTATATCCTACCCATATAATTTTTTTTAATCAATCTCAACTACATAAAGAAAAAGATATTAAATACTTAATGTGTTTTTTATTTTAAGTAATTATAATAATGTAAAAGAATAAGTTAAAAAGACATAGCTTAACTCAATTACAAATAATTCTTTTGTACGGCAATCACAAATAATTCTATATCATAATAGCACGTCTTTGACATGATGTTTTAAATTATTTAAGAAGAATTACGTTACAAATTTTAACTAAACTAATGGAAAACAGAATGACAGCCAAGCCAAGCACTAAATACCGCCTAGCTTTGTCTTAGGCTCTTTGTGGAGACTGGAGAGTTTAAAATTGAGCTCAGTTCGGTAGGAAAAGTATTTGTCAATTTAAAATTATCTATAAAGAGAAATTTGTATTGAGTGATTGCATTATTTTTTCCAATTTGCGGCGAAAAAATTGTGAAAATATGTTATAATATATGCTCTTTTTTTTCTTGTTTAAAAACAATTAAAACAATAAATAATTTTGCTTGCAAATATCATTTCTGCCCATGTTATATGAGAAATAAGTCTTTAACTTTTCCTTTCAGGACTTTTGATTAAACGATACAGATTTTTCTTCTGCTTTTTAGTATCACTAATCTCTTTGCTTTCTGTTTCTTCTGGTATCAAAATATTAATGTTATGTCGATTGCGAAATTATCCTAAATTATTTAATTATGTAAATAACAGGTATTAAATAAAAAATAAATATTTAATATCTAAGTAACTTAAATAGTATTTAATAATTCTTCTATAAAGAATTATGAAAATTATTAGAACGATGTATAGTTGTTCTATAAAAAATTACTTGTAAACTCTACTTTCATCTCAATAGGAAGTCTTGTGGGGCTTGTGTGAATGTGATTAGTGTTTGTACCAATGGTTGCTTTCTACACATCTCAGCTAGACAATTTGCACCTCCTTGATGACAATGCCTTAACGACAATGTTGTACCTTTCATGTGAATTCATGTTCCTTGACTGAAACTCTGTATATATAAGTTGTTCTATATATGCTCAGGATTTTGTAACCAAGGTGGAGGAAAGAAAACAGCGTGAGACGGTGAGTTGTTATCATAAAATATATTTGTATAATTATGTGATATGTTTGGAGTTTTTTAAAGGAGAAAGTGATAAGAGCAGAACGTGAAAAAGCAAAAGGTGAAAAAAAACAATGAACTGATTTCTTATTCAATCCCTCTGAATTCTGTTACAATTGAGTTATATACTCAATACTAACCATCAACCCAATTACAACACGTCATGGTTCCTAACAACCACAAACTGACACGTAATACAACTAACACTTCCCACAGTTGACACCTTACAACCCCTAGCAGATACAACTTGACAGATGGTGACACATGGGCTACCATTTCTATATTAACAGATGCAATTTGTCAATGAGATTGGAAATCCTTAGCCCAACTAGGAGCCCCTGCCAACCTCTTGGGCCTAGCAATCAATTCTAGTATCGTATCACTCGTCCCTCCTTCAAAGGGAACCTTGACCACAAGGTTCAAATCTGGATAATACTGGCGAAGATCCTCCTCATTCTCCCATGATGCATCTTCCAGTAAGGAGTGAGACCACTGCACAAGCCATTGTTTAATCGGTACATCATGGTGGTTCAACACTCGTGCGCTTAAAACAGCTAAAGGCTGTTGTACTGGCTTGTTCTCATGGTAAGTTGCAGGCAGATCAAGAACTGGGACATTGGAATTTCCATTGAATGGCTTCAAGACAGAGATGTGGAATGAAGGGTGGATGCGAGACTCTGGAGGTAATTCCAGCTGGTATGCAACTCTGCTCAACACCTTCTTGATAGGAAAAGGGCCATAATATCGTTTGGCAAGTTTCTGGTTACTTCTTCGAGCCAAGGATACCTGTCTATAGGGTTGTAGTTTAACTAAAACTAAATCTCCCACAACAAATTCCTTATCCTTGCGATGCTTATCAGCAATAACCTTCATTCTGTTTTGGGCAGCTTGTAGATGATGCTTCAGGCTGGTGAGGAGCTCAGTCCTATGGGAAAGCATATCATCAATAGCAGCAACCCGAACTGATCCTTGAGTGTAAGCTGGAATTAAAGTAGGGTGCTTTCCATACAAGGCTTGGAAAGGTGACATGCCAATGGAGGAATGGTTTGCTGTGTTATAATGCAATTCAGCCCACCCAAGATATAAAGACCACTTGCTATTCTGATCATGACAGAATGCTCGCAGATATTGCTCTAAATACCGATTAGTCACCTCAGTTTGGCCGTCGGTTTGTGGATGATAAGCGGAGCTCATCTTCAAAGTAGTCCCACTCAATTTGAATAAAGAAGCCCAAAACTGGCTAATGAATATGCGGTCTCTATCTGACACCAAGGACTTGGGAAAACCATGTAATTTTACCACAATGTCACAAAACAACTTAGCAACCGAAATAGCATTATAAGTGGCTGGAAGTGAACCAAAGTGAGCATACTTGGTCAATCGATCGACAGTCACTAAAATGGTAGAAAAACCAGCAGACAAGGGCAGACCTGTAATGAAATCAAGGCTGAGATCCTCAAAAACACCATCTGCAATAGGAAGAGGGTGTAAGAGACCAAGAGGGGGAGTGGTTGCTGTCTTAACATATTGACATGTTGGACATTCCTTGACAAATGTAGTGACATCTTTGCGCATGTGGTTCCAAAAGAAGGAGGCTGACAACCTTAGGAGAGTTCGGATGATGCCTGCATGACCTCCTACAGGTGAAGAATGTGCCTCTCTGATAAGAATGTGCTTCAAACCAGATGCTGGACCAATGAAATACCTTCCCTTATGGAACAGTATACCATCACGAATTGTGAATGACTTATCTAAGCAAGTGTTGTCAATAAGTTGCTGCTGTATATCCTTAAGATAAGGATCAGAAATATTTTCTTCCCGAATTTGATCCACAATTGCATAAGTTGGTTTAGAAACTAAACACAATAATGAAGCTTCATCAGGGAAATCATCTTCCAAACTTCTGGATAGGGCATCAGCCACTATATTGGAAGTGCCACTCTTGTATTCGATTGTAAAATCAAAACCAAGTAGCTTACAGACGTACTTCTGCTGTTCAGGGGTGGAAACTGTTTGGGACAAAAGTTCCCAGAGGCTTTTATGATATGTCTTAATGACAAATGAAAGCACCAATTGATAAGAGCAGAACGTGGAAAAGCAAAACGTGAAAAAAAACAATGAACTGATTTCTTATTCAATCCCTCTGAATTCTGTTAAATTGAGTTATATACTCAATACTAACCATCAACCCAATTACAACACGTCATGGTTCCTAACAACCACAAACTGACACGTAATACAACTAACACTTCCCACAGTTGACACCTTACAACCCCTAGCAGATACAACTTGACACATGGTGACACATGGGCTACCATTTCTCTATTAACAGATGCAATTTGTCAATGAGATTGGAAATCCTTAGCCCAACTAGGAGCCCCTGCCAACCTCTTGGGCCTAGCAATCAATTCTGGTATCGTATCAGAAAGCAAGAAAAATAAAATAAAATATATATATATATATATATATGAGAAATATTATTCTCCTTTAACATAAGACAACTTCTCTCATCTTCTCTCACTTTGATTTTCGTACTCCACCTTTTTCTTTTCTTTTTTTCTTTTTTCTTGTAATGGTGGGACCCGCTCATTTTCTCTCTACAACATAAGTTAATTATCTTATGTAAACGGAGATTAATAAAATCCTATATATATATATCCAAGCAAATTCAACGCATTGAAAAAATAACTAAAGAGAAGTGGACTATTTCATGCATAATAAAATACTAACATATGAGGATACCAAAAAAAAAAAAAAAAAAGAAAAAAAAAGAAACTAACATGTGCTACCCCAATTGTGCCATGTGGAGCTGTAGCAGCCCAAGTTGTGACTACTTGGCCAGTTAGAATTAAGAATAAGCCCAAGTACATAGCAGAGTGTCAAGTGTAATTAAGTGCTGGCTAGAGGAGTGCGAATTAGTCTGTTATGTTAATTGAGGATAATATAGTAAGTGTATTTTATGTGTCTGTTGTAACTCCAACAATCTTCTGTATCAGATTATAGCTTACACAGAATGATATACATATAACACTTCTCCTATCCACTTTTATCAAATATCACTTATGAGTTAATATTAAATATTGATTGAGTTTTCTTATCCATCATGTGTAAATTCGAAACTTGAATCTATTTCCTGAAAGGGGAATTACAGAATCCATTTCCCAGAGAGCAACCTTACAATCTAGGTCTTTGATAAACATCGATTCTCTTTTGATCTTGATCAAGTAATCCTTGTCAGCCTCTTCGTTCCTTCGCCAAAACTTTGAGAGAGTATAGGATGATCTTGATTGGGCTTTGCACATGGTAAAATGCAACAAGAACTTCTCGGATATGAAGATGGGGTTTGTAGCACTCCATAGAGAGAATACATTGCCTGTATTCTAATTTTCTTTTTTTGATGTACCAAAACTGTAAATAATAATTTTCATATAAAAAGTTGTATGTTGCCATTTACTACGGTTGGTCTAGAAGTGTTCATCATCAATTGCTCAGATTATATTGAACATAGGTGCACCCATTTATTTAGGGTGCAGGGAAGTCAAAGCCAGGTTTGGCATGTTTGTTTCGGCAAATGGAATCTGGAAACCCAAAAGACAAGGAGAAACTTTTAAGGCACAGAGTATTTCATGTATACCAAGTGTAATCACATTTTTAATGATAAACACACATTCAAAAATGATTTGTAGCAATACAATTTAAACAATATAAATTATTGCAAACTTATACCAAAATCATATTTACAAATTGTAATCCAAACACACACTAAGGGATTCAAATGAGAAATCACAACTGATAGTATCTAACAGAGTTTTGTATTATTACACTATAAGCTTTCCAGCAGCGCTGTGTAATGAAAATCATACAGTAAGAACTTATTATCATTTTTATATCTCTACTTTACGTAGAATGATATGAGCACCATATCGTGGCTGAAGAGTAATCATTTGAACCGGAGCATGAGCATAAGCAGGAGAAAGTTCAAATGAGAAATGTTGTAAAATCAATGACAAAGCCATCTTTGCTTGCAACATGGAAAAGTTTTGCCCAATGCATGTTCTAGGACCCCATCCAAATGGAAAAAATGAAACTCTGCCATTTGTTGCCTTCAAAACTCCTTCAGAAAATCTCTCAGGATTGAACTCCTTAGCATCATCACCCCAGAGTTCACAGTCATGGTGAAGCAAAACTATTGGTAAGGAAAACTGCACTCCAGCAGGTAATGCCAGGTTTCCAAGTTTCATATCTTTCTGAATAGTTCGAGGAATAGCAAGTACTGGTGGGTATAACCTAAGGACCTCATACAAAACCATGGTGACCTGTTACAAAAAGAGTAATGCTAACGGTAATAAGTATCATAGACGTACTATTCAGTCTGAAAATCAAAATAATATAATACTTACAATCTTAAGATGACTAAGACCATCAAAATCTGGTTTCTTGTTGCCGAAGACTTGTAAGACTTCATCCCTTGCACGTGCTTGCCAATCAGGGTACCTACTCAATAACACCATTGTCCAAACAAGCAAAACTGAAGTGGTTTCCTGCCCTGCAAAGTAGAATAGCTTGCATTCCTCTATTACATCTTCAATATTCATTCCAACATTCTTATCACTTCCTTGTTCTTGAATTTCCTTGTGATTTGACTCCAAAAGTATACCTAATAAGTCATTCTTAGAGGCTTCACCAGCTTTTATTGCTTTCTCTCTCTTGTTAATCATATCCGTAAGCGAAGCTTTTATGACTCTGTGAATTTGCTTTACCCTCCGATGGGTAGTAGTAGGTAGAAACCTACAAATAAACATAATCGGTCCTGTAATTATCATGATACGAAGGGGATGCTCTTCCAATATCAACTAGCCTTCTAGTGGTTGTTCTGTCAACAGTAAACATAGTTTGGTTTTGCATATGCTACTGTTTTACTATTGCAAGTTGCAATTCAGACACTGCATCTCATCTTCCCTTGATAATATTTGGTAAATAAGGGGACATTGTATATTACACATAGATTGTTATTCTTTATGATAAATGCAACTTATTTGAACGAAATTTTTTCGTATTCATCTTGAAATTGAGATACCACATATTCCTATCACAATAATTGATAAATTGCTCGTTGTAAAAAACAATTTCTTTGATTCTTAATGATAAATATTATTTGGAAATCGCTGCGTCGTGTATGAAATATGGTTAGTTTAGTTCAGTCAAATAAAACTCATTTAATAAGCTTGATCTTGCTTTAGTCATGGAGAACTCAGATACACAGATTAGCCATACCTCCATCCAGGAATGAAAGATTTCACTACAACTTTGATTATAAGTGAAGCTTGCTCTTTTTGAAGTTCAAATATTCTTCTTCCCTCTTCATAACTACTTCCAAATGCTGTTCTGGAAATAGCATCACTCGTCAAATTCTGAAGGAAAGGCCATACATCCATTTCACACGATCCATCTAGCGATAACATTCCCTCCCATTTGCTAATCAAATCATTACAGCTATTGAAAAATACTGGTAACATAATCTGTGGTGTAATAAAGAAATTACAAAGGAGTTAACATTCAATGTCAAACTAAGCACATAAACATGCAGATGTTTGCAAAAGTATATGTTGGTGGCTAAACTAGCAAATGCCATACCAAATATTTTTCTTAGGAGAATGCATTTCCGGGAAAATTAATTTTCCCAGTGTTTTTCGGACATGTTTTCAAAAGTTACACAAGTCGATACAAGATCTATATCTAGTAAATGGAAACTGGCGGAATACGTGCTTAGGAACTGTCAGTGTAGATGTGTTGTGTGTAGGAAGTTATTTCCCTATTTTCATTGTGTAATGGGTAGTTTCTTTTCATGTTCAGTAGTGGGTAGTTTTTTTTCTCATGTTTAGTTGGTTTTTAGTTCAAGTAGGCATTTTATTTCATGTTATCAATGATGAAATGTTGAAGAAAAATAGTAAAATCTATGTGATTCAGTTCGTAATTTACTTCTATAATAGCCCTAACCTAATTAATTAGTAAATTACATGTAATTAAGTAATTAAGTGTGTATTAATGGGTTGAAAGAAGTAAAATATCTAATTTAATGAATTAGGGTCACTTTTGAAGGAACTAGTGCAGTCAGGGAAAATTATGGGATAAAAATGTGCATAGAAAAAATTACCCAAATGTAAAAGTAAAGTTAAAAATGTTCCTAGAAAAATATTTCAGACCATGGGGTAAAGTTTGGAAGTGAATGGAGGTGAATAGATAAATAAATTTTTACCGGGTTGAACTTAACTTAAGTAAGTTAAGTGAAAGAGAGCCAAAGAGGCTTCATTTTCTTTCTTCTACTTCTTTGTGCAGCCATCATCGTGATAGAGGGAGGGAAGCCATTGTTGGTGCTCCAAACACAACTCCTCCATTTCTCAACCAAATCCTTTGATTCTTAGACCAATCTTGCTTAGAATTGTGAGGCAAACACAACCCTTAATTCATATTCTACCAAAAAGCCTTGCTTTGAGAGAAAATGGGAGCGGAAAGTGGCGCCCTAACTTGAGATTGATGGACTTAGAGTGATCCATTGATTGATTTAAATCTTGGAAGCTACTCCCTAAGTGATTATAAGACTATCTATGGTAAGAAATCCCACTCTCCTTGAGTTTTATGATGTTGGGTATGTAAGGGTTCCATTTCATGAATGTGCATGTATGAGGGGGGTAGTCTAGAGGTTGTTTGAGGCTTAATTCCTTTGTAAAAGTTGTTAGAAATGTTAATTAAACGGTGAAAATGAACTTAGGTAGTCATTTGGCTATTGCTCAATAAATTGGGAAATTCATGATTGGGTTTGTGAATTTCTAGCATTTTGAGCAACTAGTGAATTTGATGATTAATTGTGTCCATTGTGGTGCTAGGATTGAGCCTTGTGGACCAACATTGAAAGACCAACCATTGGAGGAAGCTATAGAGCTTGATTAGCCCATGTGGATTGGTGTTTGTTTGTGATATTGTTATTATTAATTGTGAAAACTTGTTGGTGAACAAAGGTTGGATTGGAAGCATTGAGGTAAGCTTTTGGACCTTGGGAATTTATCCCTTTATTGTTCCACCATGCCCTGATTGAGTAGTGGTTGTTTATAGTGTATGTAATTGCAATAAAGTAGTTTAATGCTTTGTTGTACGTATGCGTATGCACTGGGTTGGCATAGGATGATGTTTCCCTATGTTTTGTATGTTGCATGATGATTCGTAATTCATACTTGGTAGTTTAGCTGGCCAGTAGGACTATTTGCATCTGAGTATCCTTAGGACAACATGAGAGCTCGAGGGATGTCTCCTGGAGATGTTTGTTACATACTTCCTGGATATATATTTACTGCATTATTACTGTTATTGCTATTACACTGTGAGTGAACTATGGGGTGGAGAGATGCTCCAAGGACCCCTGGTTTATTGTGATATTTTCGTATATCTCACCTATGTTGTGGGAATCCCCTTTCAAGTACAGATGTTGCAGGAGCCTCTGGTGACAAGTGGCCGTATTTGAACTAGATGTCATATGCTGATAGCATGATGTTTTGGATTGCATGCTATTTAGGATTGTTAGATGTATTTGCCATTTAAATCATCCCTTGTACATGTATATTTTGTGGCCACATGATGTATTTTGGGAGGACTTAGTGCATGACCATTGTGGTGGTGAATGTCTTATTGTATATGGTTAATATTTTTGATCATGTCCCTTTTGTAGCTAAATCCTTTGACATGTAATTATCTTGAAGAATATTGCTGTAAATGATTCATTGTAACATTGACTGAATGTGAAACATGTTTTCTTATTTTGATTTGAATGATAAATTGATGAATATGGTGGGATATGAGTGCCACAATATGTGTTGGATTATTGTTGGCCAGGTCTAGTTTATTAGGTGTCTAATTCACCACATGCTCCATCAAGTTAGGTGCCATTATGCAGGTTGAACCTGTTTTTCTCTATCGAAGTGCGCTTAAGCGCTCTTGGTGGCCTAAAAGTACCAATTTCCTCTGCCTGTGCGCGCTTAAGCGCTCTACCAGGTGAAAAAAATGTTCAAAGAGCGCACTTAAGCACACAGCCCGTTTTCAGCACGAACATAGGTTAGTTAAATTGGCATAACTCGAGCTACAGAGCTCCAAATTGAGTGAGGTTTGAACCTATGTGAAGCTAACACATAGAGATATAACCCTGTAAAATATTAGAGCTATTGGATCAGTATATAAATGTCAGTGTAGGATTCAAGTTGGATCTCCAATTCCGAAAGTTCGGTTATGTTAGCTACGTTGCGAGTTTAATAACTCTTGCTATACTTAACCAAATAGTTATTGTAATATTTTTCTAGAAAGCCTTAGCTGTCTAGTTTATAACAAGGAAAGGGTGAGAGTTAATGGTTAGGTGTAGTGGTATCAGTTTAGAGAATGTTACATGGTTACAATTATGATTTTGGTTATATTAAGTACGATTTTGTTTTAAAAAGTAAATGAACAATGTTTTTATGAAAAGGTTTATTCGTAATCTTAATTAATCAATGTGATTGTAACTGCACTTAATGTTTCTGGGTATACAACGGGGCGTTACAACTTCCAATTTTTTTATATTTTCTTCTTCCTTGTAGTTTGGAAAAGCATTCTTCACTTCTATTCTACTAAAAAACTATAATTGGTATCACAGCTATTCTTAAGGGACCTGTGTGGAACCTTGATGTTCTATGGAAACCAAATCACACCTTACATCAATTGCTTTGTGGATGTTCGACGGGAAAAATTATCCTATTTGGAAAGTACGCATGGAGACATATTTGGAGGAATTGGATCTCTAGGAAGCAGTGGAGGAGGATTATGAAATTCTACCACTTCCAGCAAATCCTTCCATGGCTCAAATACAAGTGTAGAAGGAGAGAAAGACGAAGAAGTCCAAGGCAAAAGCTTGCTAGTATGCTAAAGTCTCGCCCACCATATTCGCTTGCATTATGACTTTGAAGTCCGGAAATGAGATATGGTATTATCTGAAATCATAATATGAAGGTGGCGAACAAATTCGAGGGATGCAAGTGCTGAATTTGATACGGGACTTTGAGATGCAAAGGATAAAGAATTCTGAATCCGTCATATAATACACTGATCGATTGTTTAATACTTCTAGCTGAATCAGATTATCTAATCCACCTTTCCGAAATCAAAGATTGTTGAAAAGATTCTTGTAACAGTTCCTGAAAATTTGAAGCTGCAATTGCTTCTCTGCAGAACTCAAAGGATATGTCATAAATTTCACAAGCAGAATTGTTGAATGCCTTGCAGGCATAAGAGAAATGAAGAGCCATGAGGTAAGAAAGTGAAATTGAAGGAGCTCTACCGGCAAAGTACCTTGAAGCAACCAGAAAAAAGGAGAATCAAGAGGGAGGTTCCTCCTCTTGTGCTCTAAAATTTGTTAAGTGTTAGACAACTTGATTGTGTTTGAGAAAAAGTTCTTCTTGATTAAATATGCAATTGGTCGATATATTCAAATTAAAAATAAAGGAAAAAAGTTTTGCTCTAAATCCATAGGAGAAGGAAAACTTTGTTTTTTCTGCCAAAGAAAATGTCACAAAACTTTGGCATAAAAAGTTTGGGCATTATCATCTTAAGGGGTCGTTGCAAATGAAGTTAAAATAGATTGCAGATGATATTCCAGAACTGGATGATCATATTCGAAGTTATCAAGCATGTCAACTTGGAAAACAAAGCAAAAGATCCTTTCCAAATGCAACATGGAGAGCATCAAAGAAGCTGCAACTGATTCATACAGACATTGCAAGGCCACAAAGAACACCTTCCTTGAAAGGTAGCCTTTATTATGCCTTATTTATTGATGATCTTACCCTCATGTGCTGGATTTTCTTTTTAAAGCATAAGTCAAATGTGGATAAAGTCTTTTGAAACATCAAAGCTAGATTTGAGAACGAAAGTGGCTGCAAAATTCAAGATCCTAGATCTGACAATGGCAAAGAGTACACTTCAGAATCATTTGATAGATTTTGAGAGGAGGATGGCATTCAACATCAATTAATTACTCCATATACTACGATACAAAATAGAATAAGTGACTCCATAGCAAAATAGGATAAGTGAGAGGCAGAATAGATTTATTTTGGAGATGACCAGATGCATGCTACATGAAAAGAATTTGCCCAAACACAGAAGTAGCTAGTACTGGTGTCTTTTGGAAGAGTTGACTTCCAACAATGCACTGAAAGATAAAACACCCTTTGAGGCATTGTATGATTATAAACCATCTTAAATTTCCTTAAAATATTTGAATGTCTATGCTTCACTCATGTTCCACAGATTAAAAGAGACAAGCTGGACAAAAGAGAAACTCTAGGAGTCTTCATTGGTCATAGTCTAGTCTCAAAGGCTTATAAAGTGTTTCAGCTGCAAACTGGAAAAATTGTTGTGAGCAGAGATGTACATTTTGTGGAAAAAGAAGAATGGAATTGGAACGAAGAAAAGGATGGACACAACCATAAAAGAACCAAAACTCAAGGCTCCCATTTCAAACATGGTGAAACAAGGCATTGAAGATTGGCAAAGTGATATGATAGATATTGTTCCTATAAGAGGTAAACACTTTCTTATGTATACCAGAGGTGCAATATAACTATTTGTGAACCTGCAGGTTAAGAGGAAGCAATGAAGAATCAAATTTGGATAGCTGCAATGAAGGAGTTGTCAATGATAGAGAAAAATAATACATATATTTTGATTGAAAGGCCTTAAGACAGAAAAGTCATTGGAGTAAAATGGGTGTATCAGACCAAGTTAAATGTAGATGGCTCTGTCAACAAGTTTAAAGCAAGACTTGTGGGGAAAGGGTATGCTCAAATTTTTGGATTGGATTAATCAGATACATTTACACCAGTTGCTCTCTTAGACATCATAATTAAGTCTTATACTTGCTATAGTTGCTGAAAAGAATTGGAAGGTATATCAACTAGATGTGAAATCAACATTCTTAAATGGATTTCTAGAAGAGAAGATTTATGTTGAGCAACCTGAAGGTTTTGTGAAAGATGGAGAAGAAGAAAAAGTATATCTCTTAAAAAAGGCTCTATATGGCTAGAAACAAGCTCCAAGGGCCTAGTACAACAAAATTGATGAAAACTTTCTGAATCTGAGGTTTGTCAAAAGTGTATCCAAGTCAACTTTGTATGTAAAATAAAATTGGGCTAATATTCTCATCATTTCTTTGTATGTTGATGATCTGCTTTGTTAGAAAAGTATATAAATCATTGATGGGCTTTCACTTAAAAGCTTAAACTTTTGGGTTGAATTGGTTCTTTACGTGCTTGTAATAGGAAACAACACCAATCTTGTAGAGAAATTCAAGCAAGAGATGACGGAGGTTATAATGACCCTAACTGGTAAATCTTAATTAGGGATTTAATTTAAGGATTTAAATGCCATAATTAGATTCAGAGTGTGATTTCGAGTATTTTGACTGTAATCATGACTAGGTTATGAACAGTGCGTTCTGCCGGGTGATCTGCATTCTTGTGAATTAACCGGTAGAGCTTAAATGAGAAAAATGATGTTAGAGACATAATTTGACAATTCTAACGCCAAATATGAGTTCAGAACGAAAAATTGTATAGTCTGGCACTTTCCGTGAAAATCACGTGAATAGTGTTTTCTACCAGGTATTTTGTACTGCTGTTTAAGCAATCGGTAGAATCCAGAAGCAAATAATTGATGAGATAAGAATAAGAAAGTCCAATATATGCCAAGCAAGTCAAAATAGGCCCAAGAATGATAAGTTTATAAGTTTTAAGTTTCGTAAGTAAACGAAGTACAGTTAGTGATTCACAGTGCATTTCGTGAAAAACGGTGCAGAAACCATACTGTGAATTTTGAATATTGTTCCTTAGGAAATAAAAATTAATGTAAATGAATTTAAAAAAATAAAAATATGTCCGTAGCTTTAAGTTAGTTCCTGGTCCGTTTAAGTTAAAATACGCGATAGAAAAACATCCGGTAAAAGCCACATGGGCTTAAAGGACCTTAAGTGACTTAAGGTCACTATTCCCTCACATTTTCTCTCTCCCATTTCCCCTCCCAACCCGCGGCAGCCATGGAGAAATAGGGCTAGGGTTCTTCTTTTTCTTCCTTTGATTTCCATCCATTTTTACACCAAAAGGCTAGATGTTATACATGAAAATCATAGGAAAAAGTCCAATGAATTCATTCCACCGATCAATTTGAGCTATAGTTGAGTGTGTGAAGAGTTCTTCCTCCCCCCATTTTCGTGTCACTATTCATCAAGTAGGAGAAATTGTATTTTGGAAGGAGTTTTGCTTGGAGATGGTTCCCTAGACCTTGTACAAGCTATTGGAGGTAATAAACCCCTAATCCCATGGTATTATTTTGATGATTTAAGCCATGAAAAATTATGAGCATGTGTTGGGTGGAAAATAAGCTAGTTTAAAATGGGAAGTGATGATGTATTGTGTATGTTTTGGAGATAGGAAAAGGAAAATAAGCATATGTATGTTAAAAAAATTGAAAAAAAAAATCCCATGTATCTCTTCCCCTATGCCTCGGCCTTGTGAGGGTAATTAGGGGTTGATGTGTAAAATTTTGTTCTATGTATTGAGAAGATTTAATATGTGGGATTGGGTATAAATTTGATGAAGTAGTAGGAATGCTAAAGTGAGAAAAATACTATGGTGTTGCACACCATTTTCGGCCATGATGGGCTTTGGAGGGACTTGATGTTCCGAAATTAAATTGGAACCTTGTGGATGCATACATAGGTAGGTGCAAGTTATAAGTTAAGTGAAGAAAATGAATTGAAAAAGAAAAGAATCCTTGGAAGTTCCTTGGAGATTTCGACCTATAGAGGAGTTTTTAGGAATAGATTTTGTTACATTTTATTTTAATAAAATGTGTGGTTCTTCAATGTATGAAAGTGATGAGTTAAGAAGTGAAATGGCTTGGAAAATTGTTGAAAAATATCTTGATTTCCCTAAGGATATGTCCACGGCCTTTTAAAGAAAATGGCATGATTTATGTTGAAAATTCTCAAGTGAACACTTGATTAAATTAAAGAACGCGAAAGATTATGAAATGGTTTAGACTTGTATATTGGCATAGGATTGGCAAAAACGTAAAGAAATGAAAATAAGCGATAAAATGAATGCCTTATGTGAAATCTAGGCATGATAACATTTTATTGATTTGTAATTTGGATTCTTTCTCTAAGTGTACCTAGGGACTGAAAAGGATCGGAATTTCTTGAAGATATATAGAAGTAACTTGTGTCACAAGTAAGCGGATTGAAAAAGCTTCAAGAGGTAAGCTCTATGTTTAAGGAGTCTTTTCCTGATTGAGTGCTCCACCATGGTTATTGAACTATGGTTGGACTGTATGACTGTTTTTATGATGCTTTGTACAGATGCATTCATATAGAGCTATTTGATAATATGATATGACTTGTTCTGATATGATTTCTGTAATGATGTATGGTACACTGATGTCTTCTTGGGGCTTTCTTGAGATTGACGATGTACACCTCTGACATGTTCTGGTTCCGCTTGGGGTCCTCCCTTGGGAACACGTGCGTTGATTTCCGCTTGGGGTCCTCTCTTGGGAATGACGGCGCACACCTCTGATATGATATGATATGAAATATGCTTTGTTCTGTTATGATATCTGATATAAATGTATTTGTATACTCTGTATCTGACTTTCATGCAGGAGTGAGCCAGGGGTATGGAGAATTCTCTATAAACCTGGAGCTTATTGAGATTGTTATCTCACCCCTTTTTGGGGACATTATTTCAGGTTCCCAGACTCCCGGTGAGCCCTCATTAGGCAGGGACGCGACACGTGGCTGAGGAAGTTGACGGATCGGATTTTGAGTGGCTGTAGGCTACTACCCTTTTTGGAGTGTATTAGTGTATTTCGTATTTTCAGTTATTTTGGAGATCATGATGTTTGATCTCTCACCTTGTATATGGCCTGTATATGTCTTGTACATGTCTTCCAGTTTGATGCATGTACATTTATGTATTCAGGCATGTTGATATGACTATGTAGTATTCAGTTATGTTATGTATTGGATTGCATGCTATTAGATTAGTGACACGGAGCCAAGTTCTGCATGCACCCATAAATGGGTATCTGAGTATATTTGCATGACTGGTACTTCTGGATATATATATTGTTTAAACTGTCTATCAAGAACTCTTGAGAGTGGGATTGGAAAATCCCCAGTTGTCCGATTTACAGAGGTTACTCTGTCTGATTTTCGTTTACGCCTAATGAGAAAAAGAAAAAGTTAACCCGTATTTTCGTAAGTTAAGTCTTCCGCTGTTTCTGTTTATATCATATGTATGTTAATTGAACCGGCTCGAGACGGGGATGTTACAGAGGTCTTTGAAATGACGAAGCTTGGCTTGATGACTTTCTTTCTTGGAATGGAAATTAAACAAGGAGAATATGAAATCTTCATATGTGAGAAGAAGTATGCTAAGGAGACACTGAAAAAGTTCAAACTTGAAGGCTGCAAAGAAATAAGTATGAATCTAAAGGAAAAGTTATACGAAGATGATGGGACAAATAAGATTGATCAGACATATTTCAGAAGCCTAATCGGCTTCTTAATGTATCTAACAGCAACTTGACCTAATATCTTGATTGTTGTAAGTGTTTTATCTCGATTTGTGCATTGTCCTAGTGAATTACATGTCAAGACTGCAAAGAGAGTGATTAGATATGTCAAAAGCAATTGCAACTTTGGTATCAAGGTATCAAATTCATAATAAGCAAAGAATTCAACTTTGCAGAAACATTCTTCACTTCTTAAGTTCTTCTCTACTAAAAGACTCCAGAAACTCACCTTCAATTTTTCTAAATTGAATGCAGGGTTGATTATCCTTCTGTGCTTCCTCCACTTTTCTCCCTCATGGTTTGCAAGACCAATAGCTAGTAACTTGACAAGCGGATTAATATCAGGCTTTGGGAAATCATATATCTTGTTGAATACTTCTTTTATTAGCTCAGGATCTGTGAGGGTCACCCTTGGTATTGGTCCAAACCACATAATAGAATTCTTGCCTGCATAACATGAGCAACTTTATAAGAAGTCTCAACTAAAGATAAACAAAGAAAGAAAAATTATTAGGACTGAAAAGTCTTGTAAAATAGAGGGAAAAGTTTCCAGCTTTTGCCTCTGCCTTCAAAATCAAATTCAGGAAATTCCCTCCTATGCACAATGTCATTTTAAAACTTTTTTAGAAGACTGTTCTCAAGTAGCTTCTTTTTTATGGAGGAGAGGGGTTAGAAAAGAGCTACACATTCTACAAATTGGAGGGCCATTGCTTAGTATAAAAGGAAAGGAGGCTTGAGGCTTGAGCCATAGGGATTTCTATCTAGCTCTCATCGGAAATCAGGCATGAAGGATTGTTCAAAACCCTGGGAACCTTTGGATACCGATACTAAAGTGTTTATATCTTCTATCCAAGGATTATTTCCAACTTTGAAAATCACCAAGGGGATCATGGTGCTGGAGAGTACTGTTCACAGAAATGATTTCATAAAGAAGCACTGTAAGTGGCATATTGGAAGGAGTAGGAAAGTAATTTCAGATAAATAAATGGGTGAGAAAGATTGCAGTCTTGTAAGTTCCACAAAATGTTGAGAATCAACCAGCAAGCAAAATCACCAATCCCATCATGAAGACTGGGGATGGTAAATGATTAATATCTATGTTTGATAGACCAAGTACAGATGCCATTCTTGCCAACGTAATTAGTACAGCAAAAGCAGATGATAGGCTATTATGACATACACAAGATCAGGATTCCTTACTGTCCAAACATGAGGAAAGCCTGCTAGAATGGTACAACAGGAACCAGTATCCAAGAGGAAGTTATGCCCTGATGGTGTCTGTTCTATATGTGGTGTCAATACTGTAACAATTGAGCAATTTTACTCTATGAATGGACAACCGTATGGTATGGGGATTGGTTTATTCTATAATTTATGATGGGCTACAATTGGGTCAAAGTAGTAGTAGTCTATTGTCATTTATTCTACTGTCATTCTTATATCTATCTAAATTTCTATAATTAACTATAGGAAGCTACTCCTCATTAAATCTCCACCGGTGAGGATAGGGGTGAGGGCAATACTTATACGTAACTTGATCTGTACATATGTACAAAGAGTCTATTTCTCGAATTTGAATCCGTGACCTTTCAGTCACAAAGAAATACTTTCTACTATTGCAGCTTTTACCATTGCTCCAAGCTTGACCTCTTTAAATTTATATAATTAACTATGATAATAATTAACTATGATAGGTAAATAGATGTGAGTATAGCTGCACACCATATATAGGATTCCTCATTGATTTTGTAAAATCTCTGATCATATATTCACATATGCATAAACTAAACAAACATAATAACACACTGAATAAGATACTGCAAAAGAGAGTCACTATTTAGAGGAAAATAACTGGGGGAGGGGGGAGGGGGCACAGATACATCCCGAGTATAGCACAGGAACATGTTATAAAAAAAAAGGTGTAGGAACAAGGATTATGAAAGTCATTAAGTCAACAAGTGTAAATAAAAAGGAAAATAGATGAATTATACAATATCAAAAACTGTATAAAGAAAGAGGCCAATAGATGACAATTGCAAATAATAAGAGTGGTAAGCATAGTCATACCATATTTCTTGACACTTTGTTGGACATGGGAGTACACACAGGGCACTATATCATCAGAGAGATTCATGGGCTTGGACCTTGCTTCCTTTTGTATCTTCGCAATATCCTTCAAGTCCCCAACCAAAACCCTGTACGGATTGCCTTTAAGGCCTTGTTCTCTTAGCAGCCTCTCTAGCCTCTTTGGCCTCAGCCACAACCTGTTCAGAATCCTCCATGCCCATATCACAGCAACTGTCACTGTGATAATTATGGCTGCACTTGTGGCCCATGCTGCTTCCATTTTTGTCTCTGTGATTGGTAAGGGAAAGAAAACAGGGGAAGATGATGAAACCAAAGGTAGCAAAGCACTACACTTTTCAGAAATCAAAACTAGTAGTTATTACAAATTGGGGTGGCAAGTTATTTATGTTATCCTTTTTTTTTTTTTGTATCTTCATCTATAGCATGAAAAAGATTACTAATTGACAAGCAAATAATCTTTTAAGGAAAAGGACTAATATTTTTTTATATTCGTATTATGTTGAACTTTTTATTTAATATTTACAATTTGAAGTGTTTAAAAAAACATAGAGAGCTTGTTAAGATGATATTATAGTATTCAATTTCAATGAATAATTTTTTATTCTACCCGTAATTTTTTTAGTAGTCTTAACTATTTGAAGAAAATTATATTAAATACTTTATAAGTTTTTATTTTATTTTAAGAAATTATAAAGATAAAAGAGAATTAATTGCTGGGTTTTGCTCTTTTACCTAAAAGCCCTTTAAGTTATTGTGCATGAGAACAACCCAAGAAGCCTAGGGTCAAGGTTTTTTGGTGTCCATATAAATATTCCACTTGAGCAGCAAATGTCTGATCAAAAAGTGAATAGCGAAACTGATTGCAAAAGAGGGAAAATCGGCCACGTTAAAATTACCTTCTGGGGAGGTCCGTTTGATATCCAAAAACTGCTCAGCAACAGTCGGACAAGTGGGGAATGTTGGGGTAAACCAGAAAAGTTTGGGTAGAGCCGGAGTGCCCACACACTCCTCCATCCTTCCCCTTCCTTTGCTTGAGAATAGTCCGGAAGATTCTTCCTCCATCCGGTAGTTGTCTTTATGAGGGGATTCTACAGTGGTCATTCTCTACAAGTAGAAGTAGATATAATGGATCGCAACACCAAACAAAGAATATTTCGTGTGTCTGCGCTACAAGAGGTGTACTCTTTTGTGTGATAGCAAAATCATGATGATTCGTTAGCATTCCAAACTGAAATAATCCCTTACACTTCTTTCAATCCAATTTCTCCTACGATTAGTATTACAACTAGATTATAGGTTTGGGGGTGAATCTAGTTCGTTAGTTTTTATTCATATAATTAGTTTGCTTCAGGAGATATGACACCTAGGATTCTATACTTGTTTGATCACATGGTCTGTATTTTTTCTTATATGATTCTTTTCGTAAAAAATGATGTCTTGATTCAGTTTTTGACTTTAATCAATGATAGAGATTTGTTAGTAAATTTTTTTGTGTGATTATAATAAGGGGCCTAATCCTTTACGATTATGTTTCCTCCTTGATTTTATTTCATTTTTTGTTTCTTTTTTGTTTTATTACAAATTTGTAATGAAAAGAAGACCGAAAAGAAGGCAAAAGGAACAACACTCGAAGTTGTTGGAACTTGTTTGTGATTGATCGTTAACTGATTGGAGAAACCAACACCACGACGTGAAAGGTCATGGAAAGATGAGCATAATGAGCACGAAAACCACTAGAACGAGCATAACATGCACCTTTAGACACGCCTCCAGGCATAATGAGAAGCGGCTGCAAGTGGACCTCATACACCTTAAAATGGTTGTTATAGTGGCGGTGTGACCCTCTTTCTGTGGCGGAATCGACATGTTTATAAGAGGTCCTGAGGTAACGCAACTCATATGATAGTTGGGGTTACCAAGTAAGGGGTTAGGGTTTCTTACCAGGTTTGGGTATTTTTGGCCTTTAAGCCTATAGTTACCAAAAGAGCTTCAACTAGAACCTTATGGACCCAAAAGAAATAGAAAAATAGATGGACAAGTTTAAAAATATTATGGTCATAAAATATTGGCTTGTAATTTTTATCTTTTTATAGGAAATTGTTCTAGACCGGCCGGATGGCCCTGCCCAGTTAGCTTAGATGGTTGTTTAGCAAGGCCTCAGTCACCTAACAAGTAGAGCGTATGACTCCCCAATACACGAGTTCCTTCACATTTTCCACGCATGCATGTCCTTTACACATGTCAAGGGCCACACAGTCTTACATGATGATAAGGCCCATAGCGTTGAAACAATTATGACATCACATTTTCCATGCTGAGAGGGAATCTCCCCCATCTTATAAATAAGACTTAACTTCACCAAATGATCATTTTATCAATCATCTAAGCTTGTTGTTACTCTACCAAACTCCCGCCATAGCAATAATTGAGTCCAACACACCTCCCCAATTTTCACCCTTAGCTAGCCTAAGGCAAGTACGGTGATCTCAATAGCTTTAGTCCATACCACTACCTCCTTAGACATCGTCAGATCAACATACTTCACTCGTTCAGGAAACGAACCTCTATTTCTACTTCTTGACTAGTTCAAAAACCATCAAATAAAATTTATTGTATTAGTTCTTTATTTTTATGAATGGATGAATTATATGGTTTGATAGAATGTTTTAGGTGATAACATGTCATAGAATAAGTGGTGTCATATTGATGCATAACTTGATTATTACATGTGTATAACTATTATGTTTTACCGACTAGTATGATAGTTATTATGACGATTATTGGGTTATTCTTGAAAATAATTGATAATAATTATGATTTCAAAATCTAGATTAATAATTAAAATAATTATTTTTTATAATTAAAATCCAAACATGTATTCAAGAAAATTTCTTAAGAGAAATGTTTTATATTTTTTTTATAAGTAAGTTGTGGTTCCACTAAAATGGTCATATGTAGACACATGTTGCCTATCATGGTCATATATCGTACAGGCTACTTATCAAGATCGTGTGTAGCACACGCTGCCAATCATGACCGGATTTTAGATTAAACCTTAATGATTTGAATTTTTTTTATAAGTGTAGCACTGCATTTTCATCGGTTACCATTTTCTTAGTTGATTTTGAAAAAGACACAAATATTACTCTAAAAGCACAATTCTTAGAAGTTGAAAAATTCTTTATTAAAAATATTGAATGGGTGAAGGTTTTAAATTAACTGTTTAATTTTAAAACCGTGGTCTTCATTGTGAGTCTATTAATAAGACAATCATGTGAAGCTCCACAAGATAAGCATGACCTAATTTTATTTGATTGGGTCTCAAGAATTTCAAAGTTTTAATAAAGTGTTGCACGACCAAACGTGGTCAATGCTTAATTACTAAGCATAATGTTTGAAATTAAACAATGGTTTTCTACATTAAACTTTGGTAAAATCATTAACCCTCTCATCGGGGCTCTGATAATTCTATTAATGGCCTAAATGACAATTTTATTTTATTACAAATGGCCTATTGAACGTAAGCTTTGTGGGGAAAACTAAAAGGTTGTTAAAAATAAACAATAGTAGTTAAGAGAATTTATTTGTGTTCAATAGATTTATTGGATTTCTTGTTTGTGATTGTGTTCCTTGTATGTTTTTCAGAAATTGTCTTCTTTCAATCCTTTTGCAACGATTTTGAATCAGAAACCAATGGATGGTTCCAACTACAAACAGTGGGAAACAAGCTTAGATATTGTTATGCAATATAAAGAACTCAACTTTGTTCTAATCACCCCCAAGCCAACATAGCCTGCAAAAAATGCAAATGAGGAAATGAAGACGCAATCTTTAGGAGCAGGTGATTATTGCAGTTTGCTTCTATATTCTTACCATTCATGCCAATCATGTACAAGAGTGTAACACTCCGTGTATACCCGTTTTGTTATCATATTATCGTATTAAGCTTTGCTTAATTAAAAATGCGAAATAACTTTTTCTTTTCAATTATGACGTCATTGACATTAGCCAAGTTGATTACTTAATCCTTTTTCATAAAACATTGTCTGTATGCAAATTGCAATAAAACTAAATACACTAATAACCTCATATATAAATAAGTGAGCATCTAAATCACGGAACTACAACATGTAGTCCGGACCATAATCCTGATACATTATACAACGCGAATCTAAATCAACAAGGTATAATCAATGTGGCATGGACAACCCTCATGCTCACCAAATAAGGCAACAAAGCCCAACAGAGTCTCAAATCAAACGACATGATAAATAAAATAACATGACAACATCCAAAAATATCATCATAAACAACATGTATCTCAACTCAACTCCGGCCTCCTGCCACCCGAGGTATCAACCCCTGAGTTACCTGAACCTGAAAATGTGCCCCAAACATGGGGTGAGATCTCTAAATAGAAATCTCAGTAAGGCAAGGGGTCCTCAAGGATTTCTCCATCCCAAGCTCACTTACATGTGCAATATAAGTTCAAAAGCAGTAATATGATATAAGTTCCAAAATCAGTGCAATGCAGCAGAATGATCATGTCATGTGTGTCAACTATTCTACTGGCCAGAGAAATGTAGGATTTACATACGTCAATTACCTACAATAAGTGCAAGACACCACTTGCACCCACCCACAGAATCACCCTATGGTATGTCTCCTACATACACAGGCTTACCGTCTAGGTGGAACAACACTTGCACATAACAGCTCAACAGCATTTCAAAATCAATACATGAAAATACATCATGCATATAAACCATTCCCCCATGGAGTATGGTGGAACCAACAATGACTAAACCGAGGATACGAAAGCTTACCTCGCAAGCTAACTATCCAACCAAGAGTCCAACCAAGTCCAAGGTCCACAAACAACAATCTCATAGTCTGTTTATACCAATAATCATATCAACAATCATAATCTACAAGCATATGACATAAAGACAATGCTTTCCTTTTACGTTTCATGTCTTTAGGATCCTCACAAAGCCACAAGCCCGTAATCACTTTGATTCTGACTTAGTTAATTATTACAGAGGTTTAACTTAACCAATCATGGGTCTATAAACCCATAATACAATTATGTCTGCACAAAACCGTCACTGTCTTGAAATTCCTAGAATATCCAGATATTTGTCGGGGCCATATCCGGATATCCATATCCGGATATCTCCAGCCCCATATCCGAATATCCATATCCGGATATTTCCAACCCTATATCCGAATATCAATATCTAGATATTTCGCGACAGAATGCAGTTTCTGCATTTCGCGAGACATCACACCCAAGGTTCCATTTTTAATCCATTTCAACGTCC